TGTTGCGGGCGGCTCCCGGGGTCTGTGCGGGGCCGGGCCCGGGCCCGGGCCCCCCTGGCGGGTGCTCTTCTTCGGCACCGACAACTTCGCCGCCGAGTCGCTGAGGGCGCTGGACGCCGCCAGGTGCGGGGTTGGGAGTGGGGGGCACGGGGGAGGCAGCGAGCTTCTGTCCCCCGCGCTCACCGCTGTCCCCTGCCCGGCCCAGGGAGCCCCGCCAGGACGCTCTGGTGAGCAGCCTGGAGGTCGTGACTCTGCCGTCGTCCTCAACGAGGAGCCTTCCCGTGGAAACCTGCGCTGCGCAGTGCCAGCTGCCGCTCCACCACTGGCCGCACACGGGCCCCCGCGGCTGCTTCGATGTCGGGGTGGTGGCGTCGTTCGGGCACCTCCTCAGCGAGGACCTCATTCAGCAGTTCCCATAGTAAGTCAGAGGATCCTGCTTGGGTCGCACAGGCCAGCATTTCTGACCCTTTTAAGTAGCGAGTACCCCTTAACTTCTGAAAAACTGTAACAAGTCCCCCAACGCTCAGTTTCTCCGGGGGATTTTATCTTTACAGACAAATGCGTGCCATAGGTTGGAAGAAGGGCTGTGTACATATGTAAGGCCGTGCTATGACAGATGGCTGATCTGGCATGGGTAGGGTTGCCGCCTTTTATACCGGGGTGCACTGCTTGAGTATGCACCTGGGCTAGAGGTGATGTAGGCCAAAGCTAGGGGGGCCGAGCCCAGTGCCGCACAAAGCACCGCACGCCAAATTATTATTGGAAAATTCAAAACGGTGCACCAGTTTTTTTGCCATGGTTTTGAAAAGAAGGTGCTAATTGATGACATGAGTTTTGTCCATCAGCAGCTAGGGGTGCAGGGCCCCAGAACCCCCCTGCACCGATCTCCTCCACAGCTGGCAGGCGTCGTGGCCTCAGCAGGTGCCACCATCCCTGCAGCTGTCACCCTGCTGTACTTTAACACATACAGGGTCACCCATGGCATGAGTTGTGCTTGTCCCCAGCTTGAGGTGCAGTTCTCTCCCAAACCCCTGCACCGATCTCCTTGAAACTTGGCAGACTTTGTGGCCTCAGTAAGAGCTCCCTCCCCTGCAGTTTTGACCCCCCTGTGTTGTGACACAGACGTGACAGGAGTTTTGCTTTCTATAATTTGGGGTGCAGTTCCCCCCAAACACCTGCATTGATCTTCTTGAAACTTGGCAGGTTTCATGCTCTCAGCAGAGGCTACCATCCCTGCAAGTTTCATTCAAATCAGACAAAAAACAACAAAGTTATAGATATTTCATTGATTTCCGCCATGATATCCTATGGCCGGATCTCTGAGGCGGCTCCGAAGCTTCAGAGCTGCTTCGGCCGGATCGAGGCAGAAACCCGGTTCGGAGCTCTGGATTGGATAGCTACCATCCAAAGCAGCCGGATCGGATCGCTGCCGACTCGCAGAGGCCTACTGGCGAGTCATAGAATCGTAGAAGTCGGGTCGAAGGGACATTGTAGATCTTCAAGTCCGACCCCCCCCCGGCTGGGCGGGAGAAAAACTCGAATCAAATGAGTGGAGCCTGGTAGGGATCAAGCCTCTTCTTAAAGACCACCAGGGTAGGAGCCAGCACCACTTCCCTTGGAAGTTGGTTCCAGCTCCTAGCCACCCTAACTGTGAAGTAGTTCTTGCGGATGTCTAACCTAAACCTACTCTCCAATAACTTGTGTCCATTATTCCTTGTTATGCCAGGGGGCGCCAGGGGAAACAGTCTCTCCCCCAAACCCTTCTGGTCCCGCCCTAGTGAGTTTATAGACAGTCACCAGGTCCCTGGCAAGTCTTTCAGCTTTCGAGGAACGTTTACTGGTTCTGCCAGGAGGTTCCTGCCTGAGAGGGTGGTTACATTGCGCTCGGTCGGCAGCAAATGTTTTGAAACAGTGTTTGCAAAAGCTTTCAAATGCATAAAGTAACTATAGGTAGGACGGTATAGGCAGTCCTTGGACACAATTGATTCCTGACAACTGTGACTTAAGTCAAAATGTTGTAACTCGAAACTGATTTTCCCATAGAAACAATGTTATAAATGTGGGATTGGTTCCTGAACTAAGGCCCGATACCCTATTTTCACCAAAAATACCCCAGAATCTTGTACTCAATCAATTATAGATAAGTAATGTAGCTACAGGAATGTATTTATATTGTAAATAGCAATGGTATTGATTTGGAAGGACTTCTTTGAGGTGACTTTGCTAGACGTTTTGAAGGGCTCTTGGTTGGATTTTTTGAAGCGTTCTTGGCTGGAATTTTCAGGCTGCAGGTTTTTCTGGAGTCTCGTCTGCTTTCTTAAAGAAAGTGTCCGAGGAAGTTTGGACAGATGTTCTCCAGGGAGATGGGCGACACAGTGAACTTGTTCGCTGGTGTGGCGTTGAAACAGGGTGTCAAATTATAAACGCTGCAAGTGCGAAACGTAACTCGAAATGCTGTAAGTGGAGGACTGCTTGTAGTGTATTTTTTTAGCTTTCTTTATTAGGGTTAGCATTTTAAATATGATATTGTAAAGAAAGCTCTTCAAAAGCACTAAAATCCTGAAACATGCCCTCTTTTTCTTTAAAAAAAAAAAAAAAAAGCTGTTATCATAAATACATATTCAAGCACATTAAAGAATTACCGGTCCTGTTTTAATTACAAATATTCTGATTCAGTGGCGTGTTGAATGTGCATCCCAGCTGTCTCCCACGGTGGCGTGGCCCTGCTCCAGTAATCCACACAGTGCTTCATGGTGATACAGTAACTGGAGTGACAATTATGCAGATTAGACCCAAAAGGTACACTAAATATTTTTTTTTTTTTTTAAAGCAATCCATTCTCATGCAGAAATCGTAGATTTCATAGATTTTTAGGGTTGGAAGGGACAGCAGCAGATCATAGAGTCCGACATCCTGCCCCAGGCAGGAAAGAGTGCTGGGGCCAGGTGCTTGTCCAGACTCCTCTTAAAGACCTCCAAGGTAAGGGAGAGTACTGCCTCCCCTGGAAGCCCATTCCAGATTCTGGTAACCCTTACCATAAAGAAGTTCTTCCTGATGTCCAGCCTAAATCTGCGGTCTGTCAGTTTGTGTACATTGTTTCTAGTTACCCCAAGGGGCGTCCTGGTGAACAGAGCATCTATTCCTTGTTGCTCCCCCACCCCAACAGAATTTGTAGATGGCCACAAGATCACCCTTCAGCCTTCTCTTGCAGAGGCTGAAGAGATCCAGGTCCTTCAGTCTCTCCTTGTAGGGCCTTACTTGTAGGCCCCTACCATACAAGTAGCCCACCTCCAGACCCTCTCAAGGTTATCCACATCCTTATTGAGGTGCAGCACCGAAAACTGGATGCAGTATTCCAGCTGTGGCTTACCAATGTTAAGTTAACTTATGACTATTGACTACGCTATGTTAACTTTATTTAATTGAAATGGTTATGTGTACATATCCATATCCTTAATATTTAAAATACTTGAAAGTAGTTCAGGAATTTGATCTGACCTGCTGGCTCGTTATATATCTTGTATTTGAGTGAACACACAAATTACCTTGAACCACCATTTCAAAGTCATATGCTGGTAATTTGTTGTACAAGCCAAAGCTAGTCTTGGACTCTGCAGGATTAGGACTTGGAATCTAGGCAGCTGTTTGATGAAACTGATAATTTGCTTCTCTAGGTAAATAGTTGATGCACGAGTTATTGGTGGTTTGCCTGAGTCTAGCGTGGTTAAGGCACACTAGTTCTTATAGCTAGTTGCAGTACAAGGAAGTGACATAGGTCAGTTTTTGGCCACCTTTGATTCCTCAGCCTGAACCATGAGGTACCTACTTATGCTTGGGTCAGCTAGGGCTAGTCTTCAGCATGGGTCTGAAGGAGTTTGCACTTACGTTTCTGGAGCCCTAGCAAGCATCTTGGGTGCCCTGCCAATGCACTACTTTACTCTGCACAGACTTGTTTTCTTCTGAAAATGAACACATGTGAAGTGCTATCCTATAGTGTGTATTTTTAAAAAAGTATATGCTCTCCCCTTTTAGTGTCAGGTTTCAAAGTGCCGTCTGCTCTTCCTGCCAGCTTCTGTCCAATAATAGACCTCAGCAAGATGTGAAAGGCCTGAATATTGCAGTCCATCTTTCTTTTGAAATATTGCCTTTTGATTTGGAAATCCTGTATTTGGTTAGTTTTTTGTTCAGCTGTGTCATACTATTCTCTGTTTTTTACCTGTTGTCTTGTGAAGCCATTTTTAACATAGTAGTTATTACTCAAATAGAAAGGGAGAGTGATTATTTCAGTTAATACAGAAGCCTTGTGCAAAACTGCATGCTTTTTTGCATATGAGTGAAGTGATAATTTATTAAAAGGTGAAACTAATATCAGTGTATTTGTTTTTAGGTTTGATGTTGGTCCAATTATTAAGCAAGAAAAGCTTGCTGTTCCTCCCCACTGCACAGCAAAGAAGCTAGAAGCAATATTAGCAAAACTGGGTGGTAACATGGTAAATTTATACAACCTATTATCTATATATTTTTTCTAAGCAGTTATTGTTTTGAATTGTTAAAAGAAACTCCTTGAAGAGAAAAAATAGGTTCCCAGTACATAAACAACTGCTGTCGATAGTCGTCTGAGTTGACTGCAAGCTTTGACTACAAGCTTGGGTGGTCTGAGATTTGCCAGTTCTGAACATCATGTCTTGCTGAAAAGAGACATTGGCAGTACTGGTAGAACTGTGTAAAAGAGAGATCTAGTTTCAGTCTGCCTGTGTTCTAGCTTAAACAGCCAAGCAAGAAATTTTGAACACTATGTAAACACCAGATCTGACACTACTTCCACTAAAGTTGGTAGCAATTTTTTCCTTTGACTAGAATCAGTACTGGAACAAGAAGAAACTTGTTTAAATGCTGCTAGGCCATGTACCAGCAGAAAGTTGAGGAATATTCACTTTTTAATTGGAGGTTGGGTGATGTGGGGATGGAATAGTATAGGTAGGTGTATTTTAGGTACAATGAAGTGAGATTTTTGTAAGCTTTATAGAAAGTTGCATGGATCAAAATATATGCTGGGTTCTTGTTTTGGAAGGATGTTTCTGGCAGTATACTTAATGTAGTTCTAATATGCCATTTACATTTGATCTTGTCCTTTACAAAATCTCATTTTGCAGCTGCTTTCTGTTTTGAAAAACTTGCCCGAAAGTTTAGAAAATAAAAGGGAGCAACCGCAGGAGGGAGCAACGTTTGGTAGGTATAGAGTATTAATGAAACCTCTCTTTGTTTTGTGTTACTGGGGGAGGCTGAATTTGGGTTCCATGATTCCATATCATGTGTTCTTAGATGTGTTGTATGTTGGCTTTCATGTAGGGCTGGCTCTGATTTTCATAGCCAAAGGCAAAGCTCCTAGTGATTTCTGTGGCACAGCCACATCGGAGCAAGGGGAAGAATGCTGCAGGATTTTCCCTTAGATTGAAGCCATATTTGCCTTCCCAACACCCACTGGAAAAGAAAATCTTGGGTTCAGTCACAAGCAGTACACCCGTCAGCAGCATTAGGAAATGTGCTACTGGGCTTGCACAAAAGTGTCATCAACTTGCAAGGCCCTCTGGTTCTGACATTGCTCAAGATGAGTTATGCGGTTGTCTTCACCTCATTGTTCAGCTGTGAACGAACACAAAGCAGGAAATAATGGCTCTCGCTCTGCTTTGATCCTAGCTCCTAAGATCACTGCTGCCATGAGTTGTATAAAATGGGAAGAACAAACTGCTGAACAGATACTGCGACTACACTGTGCCATAGGAACTAAAGTAAGACCAAATAGGACTTCGGGGGAACCTTCCTTTTAATGTGTTTCTACCCCCTATTGTGTTTAGAATTGCTAGCCTTTCAAATGATGGTTTGATTCTTTTGAGAGGTGCAGCAGGCTAGTAGGGTGAGAATAGGGGGCATAACTTGGGAGAATTTCTAGCTCAGGTGACAATTGTCTATTACTTTTTTTACAAATTGATTAAATCCTTTTCACTTTCTTCATCTGTAAAACAGGAATGATGTAAGTAGGACTTCAGAGGTGTTGGGAGGAGGGATGCTGTATTTATGAAGTTCTGAGTAATATAAGTTAAATTCTTCCAGTATTCACTGTAATTATATGAGGCTTGTACCTGTACCTTTTTCTTGTATTAAGTAAAAGTTAACAGTGTGCAGATAAGTTGTCAAGTTATTAATACAAACCCATTTTGGTGGCTGGCAAAAATTATTCAAAATTAGTCTTATAACTTAATATAGCTCATAAAGGAGGAACGCACAAAGAAACAATTCAGCACTGTGTACATTACAGTGTATAAACTCCTATGTGAAACAGTCCCTAAATCTCTGCCCTAATACCATTTACTGCAGGTAACTTTCATATGATGATAAATATTGATTAACTGAGACTCTTGTGAAAGTGCTGTGTGATCTTGTTTCCAGTTCCCATTGCAAACACTCTGGCTGGGTAGTCCTGTTAGACTTCTGGATTTTGTGGAGGTGCATAACAAGCCTGACTTTGTTGGTATGTACTTTAATCCGTTAATAACTTTTGCTGTAAAATTTACACAGGCGCAGTGAATTAATTTAAGTGCAAGTGAATGTGTAGCTGCACAAGGCAACATATAAATGAAGCAGATTTCAAAATTGAATGTTGAATGGAATTTAAGGGAGGCTTGCCTTTAAATGAGAAATGTTCTTGTCTCTGTGCAGGAGGATTTATACATTTTTACTCCCTGTGCATTGAGGTGAACATCTACATTTGTGCCTGATTAAAAATATATTTAATGGTTTCATTATGGGAGCAGCAGGTATAGCCCTGGAACCTTGTCAAACCTGAGGATAATTGAGGGAAATCCTGCTTTAATGACATGGGTCCCACGTTGGTTTGTGTCTCTTTCAAGGAAGATTAGCCCCTCTGTGGTCTTGCCCTGACTCTCCCTCTTTGCACGTCCCTTGAGGAGATGGATAGTGTCTGTTAGGAGAGTTGATGATATTTCTGCCTTTACTTGGAAATATGAGACAGTGCAGAGTGTGGCTTCTTACTGTTCAATCTCCTGCAGACAAAATATATTTTTATTAATGTGAAGGAGCTTTGCCCTGTATAAGATGAGACACTGTACTACGGAGCCATTGCCACTCATGGGTCACTTTCACACCTGTTGTGACTTGCTGTTCTTTGCTCTACGCCATGAAGGAATGGATAAAGCACAGCAAAGTGTTTTTGAGCAATTACTAGTTCTTAGATAATTGTTGTGCTTCAAAGACAGGCACAAATATAAGCTTAATATTTTCACTCTTATTCAGTAACATGAAAATGCAAGTAGTCCCATTTGTTTGCAGATCATTTAGTAAATGAAGACAGAACAGTTCCAGGCTCCATATTATACGACAAACGTTCCCAGGCACTGGTGGTTCGTTGCAAGGTAATGGTTCTTTGTTTTCCATTCACTTTTCTGAATGTTAATGATGTTTAGACTTGTTTCTGCTATTTTTAATAATCAGTGTATTAACTTTTTATGCATCTGTTTTGTTGGCTTAGGCCAATGTCACAGGGCACTAAGGTGCCTGCTCCTTTAAAGGCAAAAACTGCCTAGAGAAGGGGGCCCTAGAAGCCAGGCAGAAACCCCACAGGTGCAGGTTACTATGGCAGCAGGCTAACAAAGGAATTAGCTTGCAGCTGTACCTGGTCAGCTGACCAGAAGATGGCAGGGCTCTGGGCCCATATAAGCCCCAGGGCTGGGATGGAAGGCAGTTAGGGCCTTGGCAGCTGCCAGGGGGAGTGGAGTTCATGTAGAAAAGCTCCACATATACCTGGGTGCCTGTGCTGCTCCTGGTGAGACTATAAAGTATCCAGGGTTATGGTTACAGTTATGTTGTAGCTCAGGGGCTCATATTTATGTTGTTGCTTTTAATTTGGTGGACTGGGATGAGGCTGTTGGGGAGGAGGAGACCTCACTGGGGCACACTACCATGCAGAGCCCCAGCACCAGAGAGCGCAGCAATGGGGTGAGGAGACCCCAGCGCCAGAGAGCACAGTTACTGAGGCGGAACTAAGCTGAGGCCTCATCACGAGACGTCTGCATACCATCTGCTAGGCATGGGGCATGATAAAGGGGCGGTTTTTGAGCCGTGCATGTAGCCCATAAGGCTTGGGGTGTCCCATAAGGCACTTATTTAGAGAGGGACCCAGCAAGGGGTCTAAGAACCCACACAGTTTAGTGGGGTCCACCAGGACTGTGACTGCATAGCACCTTGAGGGCAGCCTCCCTATCTACCATCTATTATCTTTCTTACCCATTGAGATTTGGCAGGTGAGAATAGAAGGCACCCATTGGGTGAAGCTGGCATGGTTACAGGGCCCTAGGGGCATCACGGCTGTCCCTAGGGACCCCACCCTGTGACAGCCAAATAAACTTTTTTTATGTTGTAGATTAAAGTACTTTTGCTGTGTCTGGTAACAGGATTTTAATTTACAAGTGCAAGGTTGATTCAGATAATGTAAACTTTTTAAACTGAACAACTTCAGTGTTTTGTAACATTTAAAATAGTGCATTCCTAAATTAGTAAATTTCTAAATATGTTGGCTTTTAGTAGTTTGGAAGAAACAGTGTACATCTTTTACTTCTCTTCCTAGGAAGGCTGGGTTGGAGTCAAAACTGTCATAAAGAACAAAAGGCTTACAGCTGTTGATTTCTATAATGGATACTTGCATCTGTGGTTCCGTCGGAATTCAAAACTGTTTCTTGAGGATTGCAGATTTCAAACGCTCAAGCTTAACACAACAAAGAAAGCTTCAGAAAGAAAGGAAATGGTGGTGAACACTATAACACACTCACAGCATGAAAACCGTTGAGCAGGGCACCTGTAAATTAATAAATATTTTATTTCATTATTATAAGCAAAGCTGAATAGCTGATCTTGGTAGCAGTGAAGATTTCCTCAAAACTTTTTTTCCAAAGTACTACTTCCTTAAGAGAAGAAACATAAGTCTGTAAATAGTGAAGACTATGAATTGATCTCTTTATTTACCTTTGGACAATAAATTCTTCTTATACATAATTTTTAAAGTTGAAGTTTGGAAGTTTTTAGTGTGACTTCAAAGGGTAAATCAATGTTTTGTTAATTTCACCTTTCTGAGACACTTAGAGCAGATTTTTCCATTAAATCATGCAGGAAAGAGTGTTGAAATGCTCCACCAGTTGCAAGATCCTGTTTCTATGAAAGAGACCAATTTTCCTAAAATCCCATTAGGTTTAAGTATTTATCTGTGCAAAGATGCAGGGTAGCCATGTGGTACCAGGCAGAGCTTTGTAGTATTTCTTTAGCGGGACATTTGCCAGCAAATTCTGTACATGACCATTCTCTTGAAATTGTCAGTATGATCCTCCATTATCTAAAACTAGCAAATTGTTCGTCAAGAATGACAGATGAATTTCAGATAAAAACAAACAGATTTTACTTTTTATATTTATTAAATAAATTAAATATTTATAGAACTTAAAATAGGCTGAACATTTGAAGGTACCAATCCCTTCCTGCACTTGCTCTCATCCAGTGGGCACGGCTGCCACCTGCGCACCTCTTTGCTGGGCAAGAGCAAGGGCAGGCAAGCTCTGCGCCCCACAGCAGCCACCCATGCCCCAGGGCTTCCTCCGTGCTGCCCCCTGGCACCTCCTGCCCTATTTGGAGCTCAGGATAAGGCAGCCCCTGCTTGCCCACTGCCTCACACCTCTGGCTCCTGCTTTTCCTCAGCTGGCCCCTCCCTCTGTCCTCCCCGCTGTGCTGAGCTGCCGGTGTCCTCCTGGGAGGAGCTCAGTTGAAACAGCCCTGGCTCCTGACTTTTTTTCCTCAATTCTGGAAGTTGGGATCATACTGACATGGTCACTAAACAAATGCTAAAGTTTAGCAAAGACATTTATCTGAAGACACAAATATTCTATTCTTACAGTTTTCAAGCTATTCGTATTTAAAGAGCGTTACACACAGACAGACACACCGACAGATGGACTAAGCTCTTTAGATAGATAGATGGATAGATCAGCCTTCAGATATTCAGTATTTGCTGTAGTACCTAGAGCAGTGTTTCTCAACCTTTTTAGATTCGAGGCACCCTTTGGAATGTGTCAGCTTTTAGTTTTCACTCTTTTTCTGTAGGCAAAAAAAACCAGAGCAATCTTTCTGTTGCAAAGAACTCAGAAAGGGCACAGCCATTGATTTATTTTTTAAGTCTCTGAGTTTATCTTGTGAATCATGTTTGTAAACCTAACAGTACTAACCAGTGCTGGGGCACCCTAGTTGAGAATCACTGACCTAGAGGTTAAGGCCAGAAGAAAGCATTAGATCATCTAGTCTTTCCCCTTATGGCCCTTAAACTCTAGCCTGTTATCCCTGTTTTGAGCCCAATAACTTGTATTTGGCTAGGAAATCACCAAAAAGATGCCTAGCCTTTTGAAGCCATGTAAAGATGGTGAAACCCACTCCCAAGTGCTATCATAGGTGAAGCTGTTTAATCTTTTGGAAAAGGTCAAACTTTATGCCTTATTTCCAGTTTGAGTTCCAGCCACTAGTTCTTCTTTAAACCTTATTCATTAAAGAGTCTATTTAATAAACACCCAGGATCTCTTTCTAACTCCAACTCCCTTCCCCTGGAGAAGTTTAAACCCTCTGAGTCTAACCAGGTCATCCCTTGATTATCACTTTCTCAAGCTAAGGTCCCCTACATCTTTTCATTGTAAAGCATTTTTCCCAACCTGTGGATCACTTTTCTGTTGCTCTTTTGTACCCTCTTCAAATCTTCTAAGTCCTTTTTGCAATGTGGATACTAGGGAGTTGCAAAATGGGCCCTATTTGATTCAGATTTGGCCTGAATTGGGGACAGTGATTCGATTAGTTGATTTGGATCACTCTCCCCAGTTCAACGCAGCTGAATCCGAATCTGAACATTCAATGCTGATTCAGAGAACTGCCAGTTCGGACACAGACACAGCTTTAAACGCTTTTTCTACATGCCTTGAGGTAGCACTTGCAGCTGGTGATCACTGCGATGCTGGGGTGCATGGCGTGTCCCATAGGGCAGGTACTTCCGGTACACTTCTGGATCTTCCGGGGAGTGCATGGGGCCCCATCTGTCCGCACCCCCCAGCTTGGCAATCGGCCACAAGGGAATCCCAAGTGCACCCCAGTCCCAGGAGGCACCAGTTGCCAAGCTGGGGGGGGGGAGACACAAGGGGCCCCCCAATGTGCTCTGGCAGACCCAGAAGTGGACTGGAAGTGTTTCTGATCCATTTCAGGGTCTGCTGCTGAGTGTGCTGAGGAGCCCCCCATGCTTCTATGGGACATTTAATGCTGCCTATGCTTCTGTGGGACACTCCATGTGCCCCAGCATTGCAGCACTCATGAGCCACCTGGTACCTAGAGGTATGCAGAAAAAACATTTAAAGCTGTCTATGTCCGAATCGCCGAATCTCTGAATTGATTTGGAAAATTCTGATTTGATTCGGAGAAATTAAAGGGTCCTCTGATTTGATTTGGGTGCGGAGGTTTGGCCACCGAGTCGGATCAAATCGAATCAGGGACTGGAGCTTCACACAGCCCTAGTGGATAGCAGACCCTATATATAAAGAGAGAAAAAAATTACAGCCTTGTTCCTTCTACTTTTGAAGCCAAGGATTGCAGTGCCCTTTCTGGATATGGCATCACAGTGGGAGTTCATATGGAGTTGATTGTCTGCAGTAATACCTTTTCCAGAGGCACTGCTTTCCAGGATTCAGTTGTGCTTTTTGTACCTCTGGCCTCTGTGCCTTTTTTCTAGCATTATAACCTTGCATTTGGAATCAAAATGCTTTTTGTTCAAATGGACCCACGTTACCAAGTAATCCAGACTGTTCTGTATGACCACCTTATCCTTGTTATTTACTATTCTGCCAGTCTAAGTTGCATTTAGATTTTACCTTTTTTTTCTGGATTATTGATAAAAAATAGTTTCAAGGGTTATAGCAGAACCAGGTTAGGAATTAGTTAGAATCTATGAATCTAAGATGCTCTCAAGTTGGCAGGGCCAGCTAGGATGTGCCCTAGGGTACTGAAGGAATTGGCCGAGGTAATTTTGGAGCTATTAACTATCCTCTTGGAGACCTTGTGGAGGTCGGGAAAGTTCCAGATACTTAGAAAAGGACAAATATAGTTCCTGTCTTTAAGAAAGAGAAGGAGGAGAATCCAGGGGTTTACAGACCAGTTTGTCTGACCTTGATACCCAGAAAGATCATGCAGCAGGTCCTCAAGCAATCTACTGAGAAGCACCTAAAGGAGAGCAAGGTGATCACAGACAGCTGGATGGATTCTCCAAGAGCAATGACCAACCTAATTTCCTTCTAAGATAAGGTGACAGGCTCTGTGAATGGGGAGAAGGCAGTGGATGTGATATACCTTGCCCTGAGCAAGGCTTTTGACATTCTGTCTCAGAAACTTCTCATTAACAAGCTAAGAAAATACAAGACAAAAGTACTGTTGGGTGGGTACATAACTGGTTGAATCATCATGCTCAATGAGTAAGCATCCATGGCTCTGTTTTAGCTGGGCGGAGGTATCCAGTGGGGTTCCCCAGGGATCTGTCCTGCATCTGGTGATGTTTAGTATCTTCATTAATGAACTGGACAATGGAATTGAGTGTATACCCATCAGATTTGCAGATGAGGCCAAGTTGGGTGGAGTTGCAGACCCCTGAGGGGGAGTGGTAGGATCCAAAATAGCCTGGATTCACTGGCAAAATGGCCTTAATTGACCAGAAGAAATTCAGCAACGACAAATGCAAAGTCTTGTACTTGGGTTGAAATAATTGCACGCACACATACAGAATGTGGAATGACTGAGTGTGCTGCAGTAATGCTCAGAAGGACCTGGTGATAGACCATAAGCTGAATATGGGCCAATGGCATACTGGGTTGCATTAACATGTGTGTGTTACTTGCAAATCCAAGGAAGTGATTCTTCTGCTTATTTTGCACCAGTGAGGCCTCACCTGGAGTCCTGTGTCCAGTTTTGGGCCTCACACTTCAAGAAGGATGTGGACAGATTGGAAAAAGTAGCCTTAGAGGATGAAATCAAGTTTGTTTGACAAGGCCTATTTTCTATGACACCATGGTGAAAGCTAACCATTATATTATTGATCAAAACCCATGTCAGGTTTTCTACCATTTTGTATGGGACTAGCTAAATGGCCTGTAGTTACCCAAGTCATCCCGTCTGCAATGTTTTGAATGTTGGAACACTCTTAGTACTCTTTCACTTTTCTGGAATTTCCTTTGAATTTAAGGATTGTTTTTAAAAATAAACATCTGTGGCCAGTGGTTTCCTCAAACAACGTTTTTGGGCTCTTTGTCATATATTTGGGTAGGCTGATTTAAAAATATTTATACTTAGATGATGTTTGACATCCTCCTTGGTTACCTAAACGACTGGGAAGTAATCCATTCTTAAGTGATAGAAACACATCGTCGTGTTTGCTTTCAAATACAGAAAACAAATATTTATTGGATGCTTCTGAGGAGCAATTTATAACATCTCACCTAGTAATGGATATGTGCCACAGCTATGTCTTAGCTTTGTTCTTAGCATATTTAAACTCCTTATTTCCCCTGACCATGCCAGCCAAAGATCTTGGTTTTTTGGAGTTGTTTTTTGTTTGTTTTTTCTGAACCTTATAGCTACTCTTACTAACTTTTTGTGAACTAGTGTTCATGTTAATTGCTATTTATTGCCCCCTTTTCAATTCTAGGATTAAAATATTCTGCAAGACTAGTACGCCATTGTAGCTGGTGTCTGGATGACACCTATCTAAGGGAGAGGGAAATGTGTAATAGAAGAAACTATAGTAAAATTTTGCCAGGGGAATATATTATATTGAAAAAAGGAACCATTCTGTAGTCATTCAAACACCTTGACGATGTGTTTAGTTTGGTCCTATATAACTTGTCAATTCAATTATAGGAAATGGTACTTCTTCCCAAAACATTTGGAAGACTGTAGAAATCATTATTCTTCCATAGACATGTGATTTCCCACTGC